GAGAAGCTCGGGTTTGGGGTTTCCTCTTGGCCTCAGCATTTCCAGTTGCCAGCTGTGCAATACACCCCTCACCCTGCTCACTGTTTGGATCCTTTTCTGAACTGGTCAACTGTTTAAATCCTTAACGTCCTCACGGCCGGCACGACAGTGAGAACGTGATACAAATATCTAAATTAAAAAAATAGTTTGCAGTAATTTTATTCTGCATAGAGTAACAAACATCAAACCATCAAATCCCTCCCCCAGCCCAGAATGCTTCTCTAGGCTGTATGGAGAAATCCCGTCCTCTGAGAACTAGAATCTATTCGTTCTCCCCTTCCTTAGGTTAACAACGTCAAGGTTTTTTCAAGTCATAAAGTTGAAACCTTCCTTATCGGTGCTGATTTTGTGAACAACCATTCCAAACGGCCAGCGGAGAAACTTCAGCGGGGGAAAGAAAGAAGGAAAAAAAAAAAAAAAGACGGAAACGCGGGGATAGTTGGAGTTATGCTATTTCGAAAACCTCTCTCTGGCAAATTTCATTCTAAAAACTGCAATTACTCAAAGCAGCTTTTTTTTGGCATTTTAGTAGCAGCACTAGTATAGCACCAGTACATGCTGTGGGCTGACCAGCTGGAAAGTAGCTTTGTAGAAAAGGATCTGAGGGTCCTGCTGGACAACCAGCTGGACATGAGCCAACTCTGTGCCCTCACAGCAAAGGCGGCCAACGGCCTCCTGGGCTATATTAAGAAGAGCGTTGCCAGCAGGTCAAGGGGACTGATCCCCCCCCAGTAATTACGGGGTAACCCGCTTGTTAGGCGTTTGCGAGAAGGCTGCTGGCGTTGGTGCGTTGCCAGCCCGCTGCGGAGTTGTGCTGCTGGCTGGGGCGAGCCCGGAGACGGGACGAGACAGGCGCCCTGCTTCGCTCGTTGGCTGCTTGACAGCGTGCTCACGCCGTTAATTCCAGATTAAACTCAACTGGACCCAAAAGAATTTTCTCTCAGTAGCGTTAGTTCGTTCAGTCAGCTGTGTAGGGGGAAGAAAAACAAACAAAAAATTCCCTGCAAGATTACAGAATTAACAAAGGAATTTCAGCTCCACAGTTCTTAGCTTTCTGTGACACACGAGTCTCAGCTAAAGGTCAAGTTCAAAATGATAAATCCCGTATCAAGAAACAGATGTGTTCTCCCTTGAAGAACTTGCTGGCCCACCTTCTCAGGGTCTTCTCGAGATACTTGCAAGAAACTAACCGTCATTTTCCTGACTAAAAATGTGGTCATGCCAGCAGAAGACAAAGCAGAAGCAGTGGCTTATTAAGTGAAGCAGATGTCAGCAGATCAGATTTCTGTGTTTATCTCTTATTCTCTTAATCAGATAAAGAATGCCATTTGCCATACACCTTTTTATCTTCAGCAATATCTGTCTGCACTAAGAACAGACATCTTCAAGCAAGCGTCAGGAGGTGACTTGCAAGAAGGAAGTGCCTTCTATGATTATTACATTTAGGTTAAATAGATTCTCCCATCCCACATGCTTAAATCTTAAAAAAGCCTCTGGGACAACTTAAAAGTACAAGCAAGAAATTTCAAGAGAGTTACATGTATGTTTGTGTGTGTACATATATATAGAAACGAGACAGATCTTTGCAACATAAGCAAGGTTTTAACCCATGTCTGTTCTACTGTTTACTATCCCAGCAGAACAAAACATTTCAGTACAGAAAGCAGGAAAGGGTCATACTCTTCATGCATGCTAAGGTGTCCAGAATATAGGTGCTTGGAAATACAGCGTCACCGGTAGTCTTCCAGATAGAACTGTAGTGTTTTTTCAGAGAGCTGCTTGTGATGTGGGAGTTCACAGTCTCTGCTTCCTTTTATAGCTCCCAATACTTTGGTTTTTTGTTTCTTTTCCTCTGCTGCATATTGCCAATAGCTGACATAAAGGTACATGAATGGGTGGCAGATGAAAGCCTTCAGAGTGGCCCTGTATAGAAATGCCACGTATTATATTGCTCAGATACCCACAGACACATCATTTTTACCATGCAGCTGATTATAGGGTCAGATTAAATCTCTTAGCTCTGTATTTACTGTGCATTTGATTGTGAGCTCATTGAAACGCACAGCAGAGAATATTAGTTTCAGTGTGCTGAGGGCTTATGGATTTCATAGCCAAAAGCAGGTGGTGGTGGTTTTTTTTTAAACCTACGCTTAAGTGTTGAGGACCCATGGACTTCTTTCTTTCCAGGAAGGACAGCCCATTTACTTGGCAGTGAAGGGAGTAGTATTTGATGTCACTTCTGGAAAAGGTGAGTTTGTTTGTCACTCTCCTGTCTACTTTGTTTTCATGATGTTGTTCCTTGTTCATTTATTTTTAAATATCACCACACTGCTAGCAATCTGAAGTTCAACTGCAACAAAAAGAATATACTTCTTTCTTTTTTTTTAATCTCACTTTTCCTCCCCTGAAACCTCCCAAGCTAAGGTTTTGTCGAGAACATAACACTGGTCTGAGATTACAGCACCATGTAGACAGACAAGGTAGCGTAGTCTAGTTAACCTGGCCGCAGACGATGGTGACTGCTGAAGAGGCCTGCCCGGGGCCCCTGAGTCCTTGCCAGCTGTATAGCCTGGCCACTTGGGAGCCAGTACTATGGCATTTTATTGCGCTGGGTACATGAACTGACCAGATCAAAGCTAACTGAGATGTGCCTGTATCGCCCTACACTACACCAGCATTGCCTCAGCTTCATACCTCCTTTTGTGCTGGTGTTTGTCTACCTCTGCTCTCCAGTGGACTGGTCAAAACTCTTGAAGAGCTGTCTGTGACTCTGGATGGGGGGCCTAAGTACTTTTTTAATATTTTCTTGTCTCATGAGACTTTATGTCTCATCGTTTACGCATCAGCCATTTATTGCTGTAGTTACTGTCTGTGCCTTGACCAGGAAACACATGTTTTAATTTGAACTCCTGTTATTTAATTCAATTTGCAATTCTAATGTGGAAAATACAGTAATACTTTTAACTACATTAGGTAGTTGGAAGTAATCTCTCTGAATTGTATCTTGGGTTTTTACGGGAAAAAAAAGTTTTTATGGTTAATAGGAAAGGTAATGCACTTACTGTAAAATGTTTGGAGGAACCAAGGGGGTCCTGGACATTCGCCTTAAGGTCATAATAGGCAACTTAATGGTTTGCTGCTTTGTTTGTACTAAGCTTGCTAATTCACCTTATCCCGACGTACATGTTGACTGATCTTCAAATCGTAAATTAGACAAAGGTTTGGCACTGCCAATTCTGGAGTATACAAACCTCCTATGAGAATGTAAAGCATAGTTCACTACACGATAGATAGGTTTTAAGAACGCAGTACAAGAGTTTAACAGCTGTATTGTACCATCTGTTTTTTAAGCACTGGGATGTATTATCAAAATAAGGTAGCAACTCAAAAGTCAGTTTTGGAAAGAAAAATCTTGAGTTGTTGCTTTTGGTTCACTGAGAGGTGAACTGTGTGAAAAGTAGCAGCTGATTCTACCCTCTACAATGTCAGAGTATCGCTTTTTTTTTTCCTGTGACAGAATTTTATGGAAAAGGAGCCCCATATAACGCTTTGGTTGGAAAAGACTCAACACGAGGAGTTGCAAAGATGTCTCTGGATCCAGCAGATCTTACTCATGACATAGTAAGAAATTGGTTTATTAGTTTAATTCCATTTTGCAAAGTTTTATTCTTTTGCTTTGTGTTCTGCTAGTCAGTACATATGAAAAGCGAGGAAAGATGATGAATGGTTATATTCAGCTAATTTATATTATATTAATTTAAGTAGATTCACATATTTTAGTCTAATGTGAAAACAAAATGAATTAACATTCTTTAAATACATGAAGTGATTATGTATTCATGAATGCTGCAGTAACTGTTAACAGCCTGGGAGAGGGAAGTTTTTAATCTGTGGAATAAGTACAATTTATACAAGTAAGCGTGTTAAGGGGAAATTACCTGCTGTGTAAAAAGATACTTCCAAAGAGAGTAAATCGCTTTGTTAATTGGTATAGCTTATCCTGTGCCACTGAACAGGCAGTGGATGCTGACTGGGGCAGTGAGCTGTTGCTTGTTTGTGATGTTATTAGCTTCATGAACTAACCGTTTGTTTCACCTGCACATTAATTAAAGTTTTGTCAAGGATGAATCTGAATGAGAAGAATAAGATTGCAAGTTATACTATCAATCCTGTTAATCATGCTCTGCAAATTAAACCTGAAAGCTGACCCTCAGGTTTAGAGTAATCAACAAGAAAAGAAAAATGCATGTGAACATCTGCATTTTTATTTCTTTGACTATATTTCATTTAGACAGGACTCACAGAAGAGGAACTAAAGTCCCTGGATGATATCTTCAATAACGTGTACAAGGCCAAATATCCAATTGTTGGCTATACTTCTCGACGAATTCTGAATGAGGATGGCAGCCCCAATCTCGACTTTAAACCTGAGGATCAACCACATTTCAGCATTAAAGATGAGTTTTGATTAGTGTTTTAGTACCTAGAGAATACTCACAGGGCCACAATAGAATGAATATTAGATTTGTTTCCTGAAAGGAAGGACATTTTATATAAACTATAGGTGTACACATTTATGTATTTTCTAAACAGAAAACTGATTGATGATAGCTAATTGTTGGAATGAATTCCAGAAAACAGGGAGTCAAACAGATCTATGTTAGCGGCACATACTCATGCTGTTTGCTCTGAATTATAGGTATTATTTCATATGGACGTTCTTACTGCTTGTATTTCTCTGTCTACAAACATATAATTTAAAATTACATTCTTTAAGAGATAAGGCGGTTTCTAATAGTTGAACATTTAGTGGTCTTTGTGTAAATCCTAAGTTGTTTCCCATTCCTTTAAAAACTGAATGTATTATCTGGACCAGCTAGCATCAATTCTCTCTGCTTCATTTTTTGTGATTAATTATAGGTGCTCACATATATAAATAGGTGTAGCAGATGCTTACTCTTTAAAAGGCATTGTGGGATTTAATATTTGACAGGTTTGAGAATACTGGAAATAAAAACAGTCGATCTTTTAAAATGTAGTTACAGTGGAATATTTATGCAAAGCCTACAGCTATAAAACAAGAAAAATAAATCTTTTTCCCGCTTGAGAAATACTGTGACATTTTCAGTAGATTCTTATTATGTTAGTTTTAAATAAATGGCACTTCATTTTTATTTTTTGAAATAATTATCAAAGATGTCATCTATATTAGATTATGATGATTTCCTTCTAGCTTCCTCCAGTCTCCCTCTGACAAAAAAAGGAAATGATAGCCCACTGTTTCCCACATACTCTTATAGTATAAGTTTATTACAGTAATTTAGAATCCTGTGGAAATTTTTAGCATCTTCGTATTGACAATTTCAGCCTCTCATTTTTAATTTCTGTTAGTTTTTCTTTGTTTTAGTCTGGCTTCATCGCTGCTGTTGCAACGAGGTGTGCATTCACATATTCCTCTTCACTTTAACCTAACATAAAACTCCAGATCCTGTAGGGTGAAAGAAGTCCTCCCTTTATCAGATTTCTCTGGCAGTATTTCTTTTTATTATCCTCTCTTAAACCGTGTTACTGATTTTACTGTAAATTCATTTTGTATCTTACTATTAGACCACATAAGCTGGAGGAGGGGCTCCATGGGCCACCTTCTCTTCTGCTGTTCTGTGGTGGTCTGGGGCAAAATAAATAACTTAGTTTTGAAGTAAAGAAAATGTTATTGCTTCAGAAAATCAGTCACTGGTTGTTATAACCACCGATCTCTTGGCTGGACACCAACAGCAACTGGAAGTTGGCCCGTTGATGATGCCTGCCCACAGGTACCACCACTGTATACCTGCCATCTTTATGTGCATGGGGTGGGTGATAATAGCGCTGGTTGTTCTTTGCCAGCATTTCACAGATCAGTTTCCAAGGTCTACATGTTTTTCTCCCTTCCCTTCCCTTCCTTGCGTGTTTGTTTCCTCAGGGGGCAGCTGTGGGAGATGTGCTCCTGGGATTATTGTAAATTGTCTTGGCTTCATCTGAGATCAGCATACTCCTCAGCATTTAACAATTTCGGACGTGGAAATTTTGTAGCTAGATTGTTAACACATCACCCCTGAGTGGCTTAGTGTTACTATTCTCTCCCTGCTTTTCCTGTTCATGCTATGAAGCTCACCTTTGCTGATCCCAAAGTTGATAAGGCATCTTCTATTTATACTTTCAGGTGCATTTCAGGGAAGAAACCTTCCTGTTGCAACGGTGTTATTGAAATGGTGATATAAAAAGTCTTTTAATGTGAGATCCTTGCAAATTCAGCCTGCCCTCAGTTGTGCCTGTGAAGGGAGGGAGACGTCCCAGTCCTTCCGTTCTGTTATTAACAAGATTATCACAACTGAATGCATTTTAGAGTGCAGAATGTTTCCTTTTTGTTTCCACTTCAGTTTGGGAACTGAAATACTCACTTCTGTTCAGTCACTTCCTAAGCTATTTCACTTCAGGTATTATGATAATAAGGCTTTCAGTGGGCCACCAGAAGGACTATATCCTTAACCTGGATATTCTTCACTACTGTTCACTATCATTAACTCCTGTTACTGATAACATGTTCAGTGACTACTTTTCTAATGCATTCAGAGTACCACAATATTTCTTTTAGTGTTACTTTAATGACACTGTTTTGTTTCTAAGGCTGTTACTTGTTGACAGCCTGAAATTTATTTTGCTTAAAAGCATACTGTCTGCTATCATTGTTTTGTTCAGTCAGTTGCATTTCCTTGACCAAAATACATTTTGCCAGTAAGACAAGTGCCTTCACTAACTATAAACTGCACTCAAAACAATCAAACTGTGCAAAGCCATATTATACCCCTCCCACTATCCTACAGCTCCTTTGGAGAATGACGACTTTCTTTTTAATTTATTTGGAGCTTCCCGCTGACATTGCAAATATCATTGTTTTTGCTGTGCTGCTTCTAATCTGTGTCTTGTTAATTTAACAGGAGGTTTTTATAATCAGAGGTTTTAATGAATTGCTGTGCCAAGAAAGGACTTACTTTAGTAACAGTTGACTCTCCAGAACGTTGAGAAATATCAGATGGGTTCATCACTGAGGAGAAGCATAAACGGAGTTTTCCACCTGACACTTTTTCCACTAGTCCCTTACTTTTTATCCTAATACCTTTGACTAACTTTTGCGATAGGATTTGAAAACAGATGTTCTTATCTTAAGAAAAGGCTAGATTCTGTGATCCTTACTTTAAGAAGGATTTATCTGATTAACAACTAGAGCAAGAGGAATAACTGTATAAGCAACCAAAATTCAAGAACGGGGTTCCACTGAGTTTCAAAATACACGTGAAATGCAGATCAAAGTATAATCTCAATTTTTACAGTTGTAGAAATGGCAGTTAAATGAAATCAGACTAAGAACATGTACGGTATGTTGGTAACAGCATTATTCTTCATCCTAATCAAAACAAGACTACTAGCCAGAAGGATATTTAAAAGAATACAGGAACTTTTGAATCCTAGTTCTAATCCCAAAGGCTGACATTTTTCCAAGAAGCGCATGGCCTTGGGATTAGACATAAAATAAAGTGGTTCTTTCTTAATAAGTGTAACGTGTATGGAGACCCTTCTTTCTGTAGCCCGTTGCTAAAATACCAGAGTTTCATTGATTTAAGTGAATCAATTTCTGTATCGGTTTTCTTACGCGGAACAGGCCTTCTTTTTCTTTGAAAACTGCTGCCTAGGCCAAACCAATAATCTTTGTGGTCTGACAATATCGGTCGTCAGTTTGGAGTACTGTAGGAATCAATGCTAGATGATGTTTCAGGCTGCGCTTGTCATACCTGCCAGACTTTTACATTTCAGTAAAAATTAAAAGAGGATGCTTATCTATTTCAATACAGCGCTTTGGAGTGGGAGGAGCTTCCACACTGTTTGTAAATCATCTCCTTTAACTTTTGTTTCAAAACCACCGTCAGACTATATATTCAACAAATGATAGTTTGGAAAAATCTTCAATTACTACAGTTTGTCCCTTGAAGACTCCCAAGAGCATGCAAAACTCACTTGCTGGTGCAGGAGAAAAAACAGGAAGAAAATGGTTTAGCTGACTTTTACAAACATATTCTGGCACGTATCTGAAATGCGTCCAATGTAATTTGCATCTGTTCAAGAGAAAACGGAAGAGATGTGAAGAGTTTCATGTAAAAAGTCCAACACTGATTTTTAAGCTGATCTGGTTAAATTGAAGAAAAAAAACACTCCAAAAAACCTGTGAGTACTTTTGTGAGTGAAAAAGCTGCCATTCAGTAGGATTCAGCTGCACATCAGTAGGATGTGCTGAGTCGCACTGATTAGTATCAGCCTATTTTCAGATCAACACTGGCCATTCTCAGGGATATCTCACAATCCCCAAAATTTACATAAGTGGTGACAATCACACACTTCCTTATCCGTGATTCATTATGCTTTTGCTTAAATTGTTTTCTGTTTATTCAGGAAGCAACATTAAAACCAGACAACTTATATGGAGATCCATGCACCATGAGTAATACTCAGACAAAGTAAAATGCACGTGAACCTATAACCTGAAAGTTATTTACATGGTCTATTCCGTATAGAATGAATACTTTAAAAAAAAAAAAACAAAACCCAGTCCGGGTCTGTGAATGCTTCGATTAACGCAAACAAATTCATAATAACTTTTATATTTGTGACAATTACTTCACTCAGAGCCCTCTTTGTGAAAGCTGATTTAGATAGAGACATATTATAGAATGCATCTGACTACTTTTTGAGGAAAAATCATTGCTTTATTAAAAGGTGATTTTTTTCTCTTTCTTTCTTTCAGATCAGTGTCTCAACCAAGTGTATGATAGGTGGGCATCACTGCTGGAAGTACAATCATAGCACAGGCATAATTTTGATTTTGTTGTGACAAAAAAATTCTAACCAAGAAAACAATAGGTGGGAAATGAGAACATATCTCAGTGTGCTATGGGGGCAATTTTTACTGTTGAGGTAGATTTGGCAGAGCAATGCAGGCAGATCTGATAACAAACACTGCTTCCTATTTTTGTTTCTGTCAAACAGAGTCAATGTTAACAATCTTAACTTGCACCCATACCCATTTGTTGATCTTCACATTATTTCTATTTTGGCCTTGCTCTTCCTGTTCAGTGGAAGGTGTGAGTCCTAATTTACTTGTTTACAAAACTTAGGCTCAGATCTTCTTGGCTTGGATTATCTGTTGACAAGAAATCCGCAATAACAGACAGAAAATGAGATTAACGTTCTGTGAAAAATAGACAAGGCGCACCTGGATAAACTGCAGAGTTCACATAACAGAGCCACAGGAAGTACTCTGGAATAAACACTTCCTGCTGCCATTTCCCATAGGTTATTTGTAGCTGTTGCAATCAGAAATTCTGCATTGCTTATAAATGTTTCAGATTAGTGACTCCTGCAGTACTTCTTGACATGAAGTTTATCCTTCTGAGAAGTGAAAAATTAAGCAGAATCTGGGCGCAAGACAACTGGGAGATAAGCCATCGAGGAAAATCAAAATATGACATAATTTTCCTTCAACTGAAAGAAACCTCACTCAAGAGCAGAAGAAACAATGTCCCAATGTGCTTATTTTACCTCCAGATTTTGCTGAAAGTTCTGTCAAGGCAGAACTTGGCCTTGTGGAAAGGCAGCAGATAAAGCAGAAACTTGGATCTAACCCTAGCTTTGTGAAAATTCAGGTCTACTTGGGCTTTAGAGGTTAAAACGGTACAGATACTAGACTGATGAAAATGCAATACATAAACTGAATCCAAACAGGATTGTGAACTTGTGGAAATGTCTGAATGCAGAGCTCAACTTAGAGGCTTGCACCCTTCTTTTGTAGGCACTGGAGTCCTTATGTTACTGTTTAATAGACCCACAAATAAGACTTCTGAGTAGTGGTTGTTCCAGCCAGTAAAGGAAAGAGAATTTTCTTTTCTGACACTGTGGCAGATAGAATTAGAAGATGATGAAAGTGAAAACTTCCCTTTACCTAGTTCTCTTATGGTCCTTGGCAGAGATACTAAATTCAGCGGCGCTGCATATGCAGAGCTTAGTTCCCAAGCCATGAGCCTCGGCGAACACTTTGTAGATCAGACTGAAACCTGTATTAAAGTACCTGTGGCAGATCAGGAGTATCCTAGAAGAGCTAGCTTTCTAGTTGGAGGCTGGGGCTAAAGGGTACCCTTTATTTTACATTGCAGCAGTGCTGTGTTTGTAATAATCACAGATAAAGGCTAAGTAACTCAAAACTTATTACATTTCATCCTTTGTTATCTTCAATGATTGAGTCAAAATCCTAAAAACAGTCTCATTTAAAAAAATAAATACTGCTCCATGAAAAGCAAAGGGCTGATTCTGAGCTATAGAGCGGTGCAGCTGTGCATCTCTCATATTTAAGTATACTTCATTATGGCAAAGATGTTAATTCAAGGGATTATATGATCAAATTGAGAGAATATTCTTAGGTAACATATGTGTGTCCTACATTAGCTGGAAGTGTCAAGAATGCCACTCATTTTTCCTTATTTATCATTTAACCATGTTCTGTACTTCAGAACAGCTAAGCAGTGTTTTTTAAGAGTAGGACAGTAGCAATTTAAAGGCATTTGTAATGTATATTCATGTTATATAGAGAAAAACATACAGGTATGTCTGAGCCATACAACATATACAGATCTAGCAACTTAGGCAGAAGCAACAATGTTACAGGCTCTCTAAAACAAATTCTGTTCCATATATTCCTTAAACTGAAGTTGAACAGGTCAGAAACAAGGCCCTACAGTTTCGATCTCTGACAGCGTTAACAAAATGGTAGGCAGAATTGAAATGTTGGGGATATTTGAAAAGCTCTGATTATTAGACTGCAAAGGATCAACCTATCAACTTTAGTAAGCTTGGAAGGGCTTTAAAAACACGGAGGAATGTTTTAGGAGCATGTGCTGAGCCACTGTGATTCTACATATTAAATATTATATATAAATTGCTCCTGCTCCCTAAAATAAACACTTCCTTCCCAATTCTGCGAATGGTCTCCTTTGAGTTCAGTATGTCTTGGAGCTGGAAGAAAATAGGCCATCGAAAGGACTGTATGCAAAACAGCAGTTTATCATCGGTGAAATATAACAATCGGAGGCAGTGAGAAGGAAGGTAAGTGAAATTCTACTTGTGGAAAGCAGCAGGCGATTATAAATAAGTCTGGGAGAGTACAGTTTCAGAAGTGGTGAAACTTGCTGATGCACTCAGAGAAAAGGCTGAACTTGAGAACGGAAGAGTATGACATCCGCCTCGGATACAGTTCTGGGAAAATCAGAGTGAATTAAACAGTTCGTGACTGCTGGCTCCTTTCTTGACATCCTCAGTCTCATTTTCCAAAAATACTGAAGGCATTTGACTTTGATACCTTGCAGGAGCCTGCGTTCATAGCAAATCACACCGCTGCTATTCAGTCTATAACTTAGGACTTTTTCTCGTTTCGGCATTAAAAGAGAGCAATTCTAGTTTAAGAAAGAAGGCTGGAGTTTTGCTGCTGAGTAGGTGACCAGGGACACAGAGATGAAGGTGCAATTCTCAGCTCCGCTATCACCTTGCAGTCCTTATTGCTAGGTTTTCTGGCTGTTAAATGAGCCAGTGCTTCCCTTGAATTCCCTTTGTCCATCTTGCCTACTGGGACTGTCAGCTGCTTGAAGAAAGTAATGATCGTTGACCATTAGGGCTGGTAGGGTCCTAAGCATGGCTGTAATATAAAGACTGCTACTTACTGAAGCCGTGGCTTTAATTTCCTCGCTCCAAAGGTGCATCACTTTGTGGTGCTTCATCTTTCAGCTGAAGGGAATATATTTTACTCATGCTCATCCATGCCTGTCATCAGCAGGAGTTTGCCTATGTGTCCATTGGTCATTTTTTTTTTGTTTAATACTGCTAAAAGCAATGATGAACCCCACAGCATTTCTGGCTCAGTCACTTGAAGACGTTCTATAAAAGGTGCTTCACACAACATCATCAGGAAGTTTAACCGCACATTCGAAATGTGCAAAATGGAGGTGCAGCTGGAACCTAGAGGTAAACGTTTCATCCACTAGGGCTTAGCTGCTTTATTTTCAAATAGACTTGATGATTTCAAATAAGGAAGAAAAAGGCCTCTGATTCCAAGACAGCTGTTAGTAGCTTTTGCAGACTAAGGTACATTAACCTGAACTTCTGTAAGTATTTAATGGAACTTTTCAGCTCAGAAAAAAGATAAAATTTAAGCAAGACTTTATCTGAATAATTATATTAGTTGTATTTGCTACACAAAAGGATATATATTTACAGGAATATTTAATATATAGGGATAGAGTCACAATCTATTATTCCAGAACTCTGTAGCTCACCTTACTGCCACCTCTGCCAGAGAGCATAGCTGTAACTTCCTCACGGTTTTGTGAAAACAGGACTACAAACTATTCCAGGTAAGCCTTGTAGATGTATCTGGTTTATGTTGCCCTTGACAAAATCACTCCCGTTCCACTACACTGTTTGATTTAACACCACCACCAATAAATTAGGGGTTGTCCTTGTTTCATAACTGGACATACTAACAGAGAAATGCTCTCGCTGAATGCTTTTCTTCACAGTTAGGACCCTGCTGGCCACTTCTTTTCTATTTCTGATTGCACAGACTGTTCACAGTCACATAACATCTCTGTAACAACTCCATCAATTATTTACATAAATACTTCAAAAATTCTATTTTTAAAAATATACTCTGTTTTTATTGCAATCTAATTGAAAACAAAGAGAGCAGCCAGCAGCCTGCTGCTAGGCTAGCGTAGTCTCCATGAGCCATTGCAAAGCACTTCTTGACCTGCAGACAGGGTTTGGAAAGCCAAATGAATTCTGCAGAATGTTTATATAAAAGCATTACGCTCCATAACTTCCTCTAACTGGACTGTCCTTTCATTTATATCTTTTTCCATCAACTCATTTAGACTGACTCATTCCACCTAAAAATAGTTTGGATTTTCTTTATCTTTTTATATTCAGAAAAACTGCACAACAT